CTCCGTCCACCAAGCCGTCGCGCATTTTGCCCGACTTTTGTCCGCTCCCGCTTTCCCTCCGTCTTTATCCTGATGCATTCCGGTCATCTTTTGCCCTCACACATTCCCTGAGCGTCATCCTCTTGCGCTTGCTCTCCCTACTTCCTCCTCCCACATTTCTCTTTGCAAAGTTCTTCTCGCACTTTCTCTCCATCTTTGGTCCTCCCATGTGTTCTCTCGTCGTCTTTTGTCCCCCTAAATCGTTCTCTCCCTCCTCGCCGCTGTGTTCTCTTGTCGTCTTTGGCCCCCCTAAGTCGTTCTCTCCCTCCTCGCCGCTCGGTGGGCAGAGCTTCCCAGGGTGTCTCTCCTCCAGAAGACGCCTTCCTCTCCGGTCACCTGCCACGCGACGGGTTTCTACCCCCGCACATCGGATCTTTTTTGGAGGAAGGACGGCGAGCAGCTGCACGAGGACGTGGAGATGGGCCAGACGCTCCCCAACCACGACGGAACCTTCCAGACCGCGGTCCACCTGAAAGTGGAGGCGGCGCGCGACGCGGAGGGCAAGTACGAATGTGTGTTCCAGCTGGCCGGCGTCGAGGAAGCCATCGTCGTTAAGTTGGACGCAAAAAGCATCCTGAGCAACGGGCGTGACGCAGGTGAGCGCCGCGCACTCGCTTGAATCGTTGCGTCACCTTGGATTGACTCTCGCCCAACGGTGTCATGACGAGCTCTTCGCGTGCTGCTCTTCATCTTCATCGCCCACATCTTTGTTGCCACATGAAAAGAAGGAGAAGTCAAGATGGTGGTGGCCATCGCTGTCACGTTGGGGGTCCTGGCTCTGCTGGCGACGGGGGTGGCGGCGGTCCTTGCCAAGCGTCGCCGGAACAGACAAGGTGAGGGACGCCAAGATCTTTTCTGCCGTGAAGATCCAAAGAGAACTTGCGCCACTTGTAGCAAAAAGTCCATCATCCTAACTTTCTTTCTCTTTCCTTCCAGCCAAATACTCTGCAGCGCGTAAGTAAAACATTTTCTGTTTCCTTTGAGCCACAAAAAACGAGGCAGTTGCACGAAGGTCCGATTTAGGCCTTTGCCGCCAAAGGGTGAATCAGGAGTCGCTTGAAACGACAGGAAAAGTCGCCTCCGTAACGATGCACACGTGAATGTTGATGTGAGAAGCTCTCACTGTGCACAAAAAAACCAAAACTCCATCAGTGGCTTTCATACGAGTTGAATTTGATGAGTGGCCGCGCTCGTAACCGAAACCACGAGTGTCGCAAATCCTCTCTGTGAATGAAATCAACAAAAATGCCAATCAGCCGCTTGAGCTGTCCCCAAAAAGACAACAACAGTTGTCAGGTGTCCTTTCAAATAGCCCTCCCTGAAATTATATTTAAAAAAAAAATCATACAAACACGCAGAGTCATGAGATAATGAAATCGATTTTATAAGGTAGAACATGTTTGTTTTTGTTTGGTCTCACTGATGATTGATGGCCACTGAGCTTCGGCCATCTTGGACAGTTTCAGTCAGACGCTAATGAAGGCGTCTCAAATCCTTTGAGGTCATCGGTACGTCACTAATGTTAGTTGTTTCGACACAGAGGATAAAGAATGCGCAATATGACACCGTGTACTGTGTAGTGCAGACGCGGCAACAGTTGTAGGACAAAAAGACGCAAGTAGAAGATCGGACAGCGCCGCGATCGTGACTTGTTTTTGCTCCATATCTCACGCTGCGCTTGCACTTCCTCAGCCGTTTCCACCGATCACGAGCCCCTTGCCAAGTGAGACGTGGCGGGCGTCGCACGGTGAGTTAGCACCCGCGCGATCTTTGGAATGTGGAAATGCTCTCGGCGACATCTTGATGTGGATTCTCGTTCACGCTTTGCTTCTGCTCTTCTCCCTCCAGACGTCAAGAACAAAAGTGGGCCTGCTGAGCACGTTCTCATCACACCGCCTCTTGAAAACGCTGACTTTTTTTTTCCTATTCAGTCGGACCATGAGTGCAATTTCGCTTCTGTTACGTCACGCTCAAAGGTTTCTGGTTTTGGGGGGGTTTGAGATTTCATGTGGAAATGACTTTTTTTTTGTAGCAATCAATTGACTCACGAAAGAACTGAATGTTGTCGAAATCACGATTGAATGGGATTTTTTGGTCTTCCAAAAATGTGCTCAATGGTTTCGACGGGATCTTTGCATTCTTGTTTGATTGTATTTGCAGTTTGAAAT